GTTCAGAATGGTTTGATCCCTATCCAGCTGAATTCCTGAGAGGAGACGAAATCCAGGTCTCCTACTCCTCCGCCATCTTGCTCCGCCCCCCCCAAAAACATTTTATTTTTAACTAATCTCTATACCTAACACGGAGCTTAAACCCACAACCCGGAGATCAAGAGTCACACGCTCCACCAACTGATCCAGGCAGGCACCACCATGGATTTTTATTTTTTAAAGAATTTTTTTAAAAGATTTATTTATTTATTTTAGAGACAGAGAGGGAGAGAGAGAGTCAGCAGATGCCATGCTGAATGCAGAGCCTGACATGGGGCTCAATCCACTACCTGGAGATCACGACCTGAGCCGAAGCCAAGAGTGGGATGCCCAATTGACTATGCCACCCAGGCGCTCCTAGTTTTTAAAGACTTCTGAAACTTAGGGGGTGCCTGGGTGGCTCAGTCAGTTAAGAAATCTGCCTTCGGCTCAGGTCATGATTCCAGGGTCCTGGAATCGAGCCCTGTGTTGGGCTCCGTGCTCAGCAGGGAGCCTGCGTCTCCCTCTCTCTCTTCCGCTCCCCCTGCTTGTACTTGTGCTCTCTTTCTCTCTCGGCCAAATAAATAAAATAAAATTTTTAACAAAATAAATAAGACTTAATAGCTTTATTGAAATATAATTCACATACCACAAAACTTGCCCTTTTAAGATGTACAATTCAGTGGTTTTTGTATATCCTCAGAGTTGTGCAACTATCACCATATCTAATTTTAAGAGCTTTTCATTAACCCAAAAAAGAAATGTCTTGCCTGTTAATAGTCACTCCTCATTCTTGATATTAAATATTTGAGTCTTCTTTCTTTTTTCCCTTGGTCAGTCTAGCCAAAAGTTTGTCAATTTTGTCAGTTTTTTCAGAAACACAATTTTCGGTTTTGTTGATTTTCTCTCTTCTCTCTTTTATTAATTTCCACTCTAATCTTTAATTTCCTTCCTTTTGCTTGCTTTACATTTAGTTTGCTCTTCTTTTCTAGTATCTTAACATGGACGGTTAGGTTATTTATTTGAGATCTTTCTTATTTTTTAATACTGACATTTATAGCTACACATTTCCCTCTGAGTAGTGCTTTCATTTCATTTACTGTACTTTTCAATTCCAGACTGTCCATTGGGCCTTTTTAATAATCTCTCTTTCTTTATTGATATTATTTATTTGGTGAGATAGTGTTCTCATATTTTCCTTTAATTCTTTTTTTTTTAGAGATTTATTTATTTTAGAGAGAGAGTGTGAGTGGGGGGTAGGGGCATAGGGAGAGGGAGAGAGAGAATCCTCAAGTAGGTTGCCTGCTGAGCGCGGAGCCCGACGTGGGGCTCCATCCCAGGACCCCGAGATCATGACCTGAGCCGAAATCAAGAGTCAGCCGACTGAGCCACCCAGGCATCCCCATCTGATTTTCTTGAATAATGCTTCCTGGATTGCTGAAAACTTTTATTTAATTTCCAAATTTCAAAAAAAGTTGGTTTTGACAGTTTTGACAGTTTCTCATTGCTTTTATGGAGGAGATAATTTTCAAAGGCCTTTACTACACCATTACTGATATTCTTCAGTAGATATTCTTGAATAAAAGCTTTGTAATTTGTTATATACTCTTTAGTCACTTTCCAGATCTTTAAAGGGTTGTTTTTTGAAACTTTTGTTCAATTTTATCATTGCTTTTGGGGGAAAGTCTTTGCTGAGCTCCACACACAGTCATCCCAGAAGTTCTGCTACTCCATTTTAGAATTTAATACCAAGCTGAACTATAACCTCACCCAAGACATAAGGCAAAATGCATTTTTAGACAAAGGTATAACACTTTTGTCATCCATTAACCTTCTGTAAAAGTAATATTGAAGACTAAAAAATCTAGAGGGAAACAAGACATTGAGTTCAAGAAACAATAGATGTCAAATCCTCTATCACTGAGCAGTAACAGGAAGAGGGAGACTGACTTAGCGAGATCTTCTTCGATTTAACCTTTTGCAGCTTCCCAGGACCATATCTTAGTTCAGTGTAATTTTATATAAAAACAGCATTCTAATGAACATATCTGAAGGATATTAATAGTGCAGATAAGATCTTGTATGTTCATCCCATGTTACAATTCATGTTTAATGGAGGAAAAAGTAGATTTCTGAATAACAAAACCTTTGTCTTTAACAGGTGAGAGGAATGACGTGTGCCTCCTGTGTACATAAAATAGAGTCTGTCCTCACAAAACACAGAGGGATCTTCTACTGCTCTGTGGCCCTGGCAACCAACAAAGCACATATTAAATATGACCCGGAAATTATTGGTCCCAGGGATATTATCCATACGGTTGAAGTAAGTGGTAAGATTTTGCATTTCTGTGTTCTTACCTATTCAGTCAGCACTCCATTGAATCACTTCTATTTTGTATCAGACAATGAAAAAGATCTGGTCCCTTTGATTACTCTCAATTAACATGTCTCAAATTTAACATAAATGTGTTTACAACCTTTTTTTTCTTGGTCTTTGTCAGGAAGAGTTAGGCAAAGGCATATTGGCACTATTAATCAGGAGTAGACTGAAGGTAGAACCACAGATTCTTTAAAAATATTTAGAAAATGGCAGTAAAGTACAATTTGTTATAAGATTAATTAATCATTAGGAAAGCAAGCATCATGCTAGATGCTTTATTGTACCTAGATCAAAGCAAGCAATGTAATCTTTAAAAATTTGTGTATAGTTGACACAACGATGTTATGTTAGTTTCAGGTATACAACATAGTGATTCAACAACTCAGTGGTTATGCTCTGTTCACCACAAGTGTAGCTAGCATGTGTCACCATACAACTCTATTCCAATACCATTGACTTATGTTTACGATGCTGTACCTTTTTTTTCCAATGACTTAGTCATTCCTTAACTGGAAGCCTGTATCTCCCACTCCCCTTCACCCATTTTACCCATCTCCCATCTACCTCCCCTCTGGCAATCATCAGATTGTTCTCTGTATTTATAGGTCTGATTCTGCTTACAAATGATGTATTTTTAAGTATGAAATTTAAAAGACCAAACCCTTTTATTTGTCACAAACTTATCTCATGTTCTTCAATAAATCAAGTGGTAGTACATGTGAAAATGCTTTAAAAGTTTTAATGTGGTATAGCCTTGTTATAATGATTGGAGCATATTAATAGTTCAGATAAGATCCTATTAGTATAGATAATAATACCATTAACATCTTTGTGAAGCTAGCATTATTGAGTATTTACTATGAGCCAGTTACCAACTTTGCAAAGCTTCAACTCTTAATTTAATTCTCACAACAGTGCTGTCATCTTCATTTTGGATGTGACGAAACCCAGGTTAAGAGAAGTTAAGTTACTTGCCCAAAATCACATAGCTAGTAAGTGTCATAGTTGGGATTTGAGCCTATTCTTTCTTTTGTTAAAAAAAAATTTTATTTATTTATTTGAGAGAGAGAGAGAGCTCGTGCAAGCAGGAGGGGGGAGAGGGAGAAGCAGACTCCTTGGGAGTCTGACACGGGGCTCGATCCTGGGACTTCACGATCATGACCTGAGCTGAAGGCAGATGCTTAACTGACTGAGCCACCCAGGCGCCCTGAGCCTATTCTTTCTGACTCTAAAGCTCACGCTTGCTTTTTTCACTGTGCTGTGTGCTACACTGCCAACAAATGTAAGATGGCAACATTTTCCCTAGCAGTTGAAAATACAGTGTATGTTACTGTCTATGTGCATATGAGTCTTACTTATGTGTAGTTTTCTTTAATACTTCGTTATATTAGGGAAAATTTTTGTTCATGTTCTTTTTCTGATAGAAGAAGAGTAGAGACTGCATCTGCAAAGACTTGATACTATGGTGCTAACTTTTGTGGCCTATTATTCAATTTCCTGTACTTGTTTGGGGGATGGATGGATAGATAGATGTCAAAGCTAAAATTTTAAAAAAGTGATTAATGTACATCAATACTAGTGGATGATGCTTGTCTAAATGTAAGATTTGTGATTTTACTATTGAATTCTGTCTTTATTAGATCATCAAACACTGATTCTGCTTTTTTCTAAAATTACTTATTAGAGGCTTTAGCTTACTTTTTGATATAAGAATCTTAGTGAGGACAGCTGCACTTGAGTTAAATCATTAGTTTGAGAACAGTAGGGTAGACATTAACTAGAGTTAAGGAACTATTCATTTATTTGATGAAAGGCTATAAACAAAAGCAATTAAGAGAAGGGAGCATATTTTCATCTTTGCAGTCACCAGAGTGACTTGCACTCAGTAATTGAGTTGAATTCAAGTTCTTAATGACAGTACTGTGTCTTAGAATTTCTCTATATAATATTTTTATATTCAGTGAAATAATTGTTTTCTCATGAATTTCCTTAGAGCTTAGGTTTTGAAGCTTCTTTGGTCAAGAAGGATCGATCAGCAAGTCACCTGGACCATAAGCGAGAAATAAGACAGTAAGTTCTTTTGGTGTGTCAATGAAAAACAGATTTTGATTCTTTGTTACAGATTTTTTTAAGAGAGAGAAAGAGTGAGGGAGAGGCAGAGGAAGACGGAGAGAGAATCTTTTTTTTTTAATATATATATATTTTTTTATTTATTTGAGAGAGAGAGAATGAGAGAGAGCAAGCACATGAGAGGGGGGAGGGTCAGAGGGAGAAGCAGACTCCCTGCCGAGCAGGGAGCCCGATGCGGGACTCAATCCAGGGACTCCAGGATCATGACCTGAGCCGAAGGCAGTCGCTTAACCAACTGAGCCACCCAGGCGCCCCGGAGAGAGAATCTTAAGCAGGCTCCACACTCAGCACAGAGCCTGATGCAGGACTCGATCTCATGACTCTGAGATCATGACCTGAGCCGAAATCAAGAGTTGGATGTTTAACCAATTGTTATAACTTTAACATCCTGTTGACATGTCAGTTTTTACAATGTCATCCTTATATTGGGTGAAGTGGTCACAATTTGTATTTCCCTATAGTACATAGAACCTTTAACCATCAGCTACTTACTAAAATGATTTTTCTTTTCTACGTAAGGTGGAGACGGTCCTTCCTTGTGAGCCTCTTTTTCTGTATTCCTGTAATGGGGCTGATGATATATATGATGGTTATGGATCACCATCTTGCAACTCACCATAATAAGAACATGAGTCAAGAAGAAATGATCAACATTCATTCTTCTATGTTCCTGGAGCACCAGATCCTGCCAGGATTGTCCATTATGAATTTGCTATCCTTTCTATTGTGTGTACCTGTACAGGCAAGTGAAATGGTAGCAAGTATATATGTTAATAATGAAAAATAGCAAAATGTGACAGGCAAGGCTATTTTCAATTGCAAAACAGATATTAACCAGAAGTTTGATCATTTTATGCTAGATGCTTCATAAAAATAATCTTAAACTGAGTGGTTAAAGTAGATAATAAATTCCATTTAACTCCTAAGGATATTGTTTAACAACAAAGCAGAGAAAAAGAGTTCAATTCAGATTTAGATATGAATTTAGCATTCATATCTGCTGTTGCATATAACTTTATGTTTAAAGTAATAATAATAAAATAGATATTTTACTTATTTATATTTGTATTTAATATTCTATAGTAAACATATTAAAATTAATTATATTACTATTATATCAAGTATATTAATATATTTTAATTATTAACTTATATAAAATAAAATGATGGTGATAATTATATTATGTTATTATTTTAATTACTTATCCCTGATACTGAAGTACATTACTTTCTGTATGTTTTCAACTCTTCTTTTCAGATAAACTTTTACTATGGAACACTTCATCCAATAAATCTATTCCTTTTTCTGATCCTTATAAAAGGCAGTGATGATTTTAAGAACATCTTAGTATGTTTCTCTATACTAATGAAAAACAAGCTTTTCAGTTATGTTTACCAATGAAAACAGCCAGCAGTTCCAATAGCTTGTGATATTCTACTTAGGTTGAATTTTAGGCAGGGTGGCTGAGTTTTATGTAAAAAAACCATTGTCAAAAGAATGTAATTGTTTTCTTAGTTCCTGTTTGTACTAGCATCTAAAAGAAAAATCTAAGAATCATCTGACTTTCTTTATATTATGGAATATCCGTTGGCTTATAGAGGACAGCTGCCAAGGACTTGTACAGCAATTTGGATCTCAACACACACATACCTGCTAAAATACAAACATTATTGTCTCAGCTTAAAATCTATCCTTAGTCACCATACAATACATCATGAGTTTTTGATGTGGTGATCCACGATCCATTGTTTTCGTATTGTATGGTGACTAACATAACATGATAAAATTTAAAAAATTTAAAAAAAAGAACTCAAGCTCTGGGGAAAAAAAAATCTGTCCTTAGTGTTTATGGATTAGTTAAAAGCAAAAGGAAATTAACCTTGAGACTGTATCTTTGTTACTGAGCTCTATATGTGAATTTCAACATTTTTTTAAACAGCAATAATTATTGTTTCTATATTACAGTTTTTTGGAGGCTGGTACTTCTACATTCAGGCCTACAAAGCACTGAAGCATAAAACTGCAAATATGGATGTACTGATTGTGCTGGCAACCACCATTGCATTTGCCTACTCTTTGGTTATTCTTCTGGTTGCAATGTATGAAAGAGCCAAAGTAAACCCTGTTACTTTCTTTGATACACCTCCTATGCTATTTGTGTTTATTGCACTAGGCCGGTGGCTGGAACATATAGCAAAGGTAAAGTAAGAAAGAGTGACATTTGTTAAAATCTTGGATGGATAAGTGATCATATTTTCTAGACCAGTTTTTGGAAATATACATTGATTTATATAGTTAACAAAAGAAGTGCTTCCATTTTGGTAACATTTTAAGTTAAATATTCCTTTAGAAGATTTACCGAACTTACGGAATTAATACTTTAGATAGGACAGTATATCCATGTTTATTTCAAGAGAGAGACATTTGCCAAGTACTTACTTATATCACATTATTAATGGAAAAATTGATGTGACCACAAGATTTAAAATAATGATGGAAAAAATATTCACCCATAATCCCTTGCTATAATGGAAATTACTTTCTAATTCTGTTCTGCATACCTTTATATTTTACAGAGTGGCAAACATAGTATACATACTGGTTTATCCTTAACGCTAGAAAGTTTTTTTCCCCATTTTTGCAGTCCAGATATAATTATTTGGTATTTTCTAAATAATATTCTGTCAAATCATTGTGCTGTAACTCACTAAACCATTTTGGTTTTGTTCTCAGTTGGATTGTTTCACATTTTAAATTTTAGATAATCCTGCATTAAACATATTCGTGTTTAATAGTAATTTCTGTTGAATTAGTATCTTAGGATAAATTACAAAGTATGTGAGTAAAGGGCATAAATCCTTTTGTGGCTCATGCAACAAGTTTTAGCATTCTTTTGTCATTAAGATTATGTTAGTGAAGTAGTTTTACTACAACTTCATCAGCATTAACTCCTGTATAAATTCTTGCTAAGTTAGTAGGCATTAAATGGTGTCATAGAGTTGCTTTTGTTTGCATTTCTTCCATTATTAGCAGGAATAAACATTTTTCTACACAGGAGGTATTTTATTTCTTCTTAAATTAATTGCCTAATGATGTCCTTTGCTCATGTACCTGAGTTCCTGATGTTTTCCTATTAATTTATGTTACTTTTTTATAAATTATACCTAATAATACATTTTATATTTTGTATACTTCGTATTTTTGAAGTAAAACATTTTCTAATTTGAACTAATTAATATTCCTAAAGCTATCTTTTTGGCAAATGTTAAGTATTGTATCTTTATTTTAGGTAAAACCTGAGCTTTTTCTTCCTTAGCATTGTTAACATGTTTGTGTTAATTTATAGGGTAAAACATCAGAGGCTCTTGCCAAGCTAATTTCACTACAAGCTACAGAAGCAACTATTGTAACTCTTGACTCTGATAATATTCTCTTAAGGTATTTATTTTCATTCTTCCCCCTTATCTTTTTAACTTCTTACAAAAAATATCAAATACACCCAGAAGTAGAGAGAAGAGTATAATGAACCCACATCATCCATCTCCCAGATTTAACAATTATTCACATTTTTTTTTTAAAGATTTTATTTATTTATTTGAGAGAGAGCACATGAGAGGGGTGAGGGTCAGAGGGAGAAGCAGACTCCCTGCCGAGCAGGGAGCCCGATGCGGGACTCGATTCCGGGACTCCAGGATCATGACCTGAGCCGAAGGCAGTCGCTTAACCAACTGAGCCACCCAGGCGCCCAACAATTATTCACATTTTGCCAAACTTCATCTATACATTCTATCTTTATATTGTTGCAGTAGTATTTTAAATTCCAGTCATGTTGGTTTATTGCTAAATATTCCTGTAGTATCTCTAAAAATAGGACATATTCTTATGTAACTATAATACCATATTGCATTTAACAAAATTAACAATATCTTAAGATCATCTAATATGTATATAGTCTATTCTCATTTCTCCTATTGTCTCCAAAAAGTTATTTATTTATTTTAGAGAGGGGGAGAGAGAGAGAGTGCAAGAGAGTGAGAGTGAGTGCACACACGTGAGTTGGGGAGGAGCACATGGGGAAGAGCTGATGGGGAGGGAATGGGAAGGAGATAGAATCTCAAGCAGACCCTGCGCTGAGCACAGAGCCCAGAGCCCATTCCGGAGCTTGATCTCACCCTGAGATCATGACCTGAGCAAAACCAAGAGTTAGATGCTTAACGGACTGAGCCACCCAGGTGCCCCGTCTCCAAAAGTTTTGTTTCTTTCTTTGAAACGGAAATCAAACAAGAGCCATGTGTCAAAGCATTTGACTGACACATTTCTTTTAATATAGAACAGCTCTGGGACACCTGGGTGGCTCAGTCGGTGAAGCGTCTGCCTTCAGCTCAGGTCATGATCCCAGGGTCCTGGGATCGAGTCCCGAATCCGGCTCCTTGCTCAGCGGGGAACCTGCTTTTCCCTCTGCCTGACACTCCCCCTGTTTGTGTGTGTTCTCTCTCTCCCTCTCTCTGACAAATAAATAAAACCTTAAAAAAAGTCTTTAATCTAGAACAGCTCTTCCCTCCTGTTCGCCCTCCCCCCTCCACGCCCTGCCCCTTACAGGTGACTTGTTAGATAACCACCCATCAATTGTTCTGTAGAATATCACACAGTCTGAATTTAACTCTTTGCTTCCTTGTGGCATCATCTAACTTATTCTGTAACTCCTGGCACCTGTAAACTGGAAGTTAGAGCTAAAGACTTGATAAGATTTCATTCTTTTTAAAAAAATTTCATTCTTGGGCGCCTGGGTGGCTCAGTCGGTTAAGCGACTGCCTTCGGCTCAGGTCATGATCCCAGGGTCCTGGGATCAAGTCCCACATCAGGCTCCCTGCTCTGTGGGGAGCCTGCTTCTCCCTCTCCCCCTCACCCTGCTGGTGTTCCCTCTGTCAAATAAATAAATAAAATCTTTAAAAAAAATTTCATTCTTTTGTATTTCTCATTTGTATACTCATAAAATTATGTAGGAAAATTTACACAATAAATTGTTTTTTTAAGATTTTATTTATTTATTTGTCAGAGAGAGAGAAAGAGAGCACAAGCAGGGGGAGCGGCAGGCAGAGGCAGAGGGAGAAGCAGGCTCCCTGCTGAGCACGGAGCCCAATGTGGGACTCGATCCCAGGACCCTGGGATCATGACTTGAGCCGAAGGCAGACACTTAACCGCCTGAGCCACCCAGGTGTCCCATAAATTGTTTAATTAAATAAAACCCCTCACATTATTTTCTAAAGCTTTCATTTATTCTTTTAGTCACTACTGAACGAATATATCCTTTGTGCCAGGTACTGAGCTGTTCCCCAACAGTAAACAGGACTGACATTGTAGCTCCCAGCTTAAATGTTAGGTCTAGTTTCCATTGGTAGCAATTATGGAGCCACAAGCTTGACATAAACCAGTAAGCTTGCATGGAAAGATCAGAGTGAGAAACATATTTTCCCAGTGCTTTTTATTTTAACTCCTATCCAGTGAAGAACAAGTGGATGTGGAGCTCGTTCAACGTGGAGACATCATTAAAGTGGTTCCAGGAGGCAAATTTCCAGTGGATGGTCGTGTTATTGAAGGACATTCTATGGTAGATGAGTCCCTTATCACAGGTATGTTCTTTCAGAGGATCATGACATGAAAGTAAAGTGAATCCAAAGTGTTAATAAAAAACAGGAATAAAAGGTGGAGAGCTTTTTGTAGAAACTATGGAATGACTAAATGATGAGTAAAGAGAATAGGAATTCTTTTTAAGACTATTAAATAAATTTCTGTAGATTTACTTTGTGTTTTTTCATTATGCTACTGAAAGCTTTTTTCACTGAGGATTGTTAATTACTAGAATGTGTAACCAAAGGCAGTTGTCTCATTCTGATGTAGAGCCCAAGAGACTTTGGCAGATTTTCCTGAGCAAATACCTATTTGTTTTCCTGCCCTAAAGACTGGTCTGATCGGAGCTGGAGTATGACTCTGGGTTCTCCACATCAGGGTCTGCTCGAAGAAATTAGGCCTCGGAGTAGTGTTAGAGAGCTTAGATAACTAAGGCCAATCTGGAACAGAACCAAAAGAATACCTTTCCTGTCTGAACCCTCAGGATAGTCCCAGAAGAGGCTCAGTTTATGGACTATGAGGAAATAATTTCGAACTCTGTATTTCTCAATAGGGTGCTATTGCCAGTTCAGATGGGACAATTCTTCTGGGGGGACTGCATGCACATTGTAATACATTTAGTATCCCTGACCCTGGCCCACTAAATTGGAGTAGGAGCACCCCATGCTCCACCAGTAGTTATTATAAACAAGAACTCCCACATTTCTAAGTGCTCCTTGGGAACATATTGAGGACCAATGATCTAAGACTAGGGAGCAGCTTTAAAAGTGTCTGACACGCAAATTCGTGAAGCATTCCATATTTAAAAAAAAAAGTTTCTGCGTATAAGAGCTGACTTAGTAGATTGTTCTAGTTTAAGATATGTGTCCCTGGGGTTGGCCCAGGACTGACATAAGGAAAAAGGGAGGGCAACCTTCACCTAGGCATTTATCCAGATTCTATGAAGTAAGAATCTCCTTTCTACATATTTTTGACAGTTAATAAATAACAGCACGTTTCAAGATAGTATGTATTTATGCTCCCTAAATCTGTCTTTACTCCTTATACAGGGGAGGCAATGCCTGTGGCTAAGAAATCTGGCAGCACAGTAATCGCTGGTTCCATTAACCAGAATGGGTCACTACTTATCCGTGCAACCCATGTTGGAGCTGACACAACACTTTCTCAAATTGTTAAACTTGTGGAAGAGGCACAAACATCAAAGGTAACTTAATTCCCTGGGAGAAACAGAAAGTATTTTTTTTAAAAGACTGCTCAGCGTGAATCTTGATCTAGTGTTTATGTTTTCCTTTAACTCCAGTTGCATTAATAGGGAGATTATTAAAATATTTGTATGCAGTACCAAATATACTCTGTATTCATTATCAAAAAAGACTTTGATACATGTATTATTATTATTATTGTTATTATTATTAATATTCTAGGCTCCTATCCAGCAGTTTGCAGACAAACTCAGTGGCTACTTTGTTCCTTTTATTGTTATTGTTTCCATCGCTACCCTCTTGGTTTGGATTATAATTGGATTTCTGAATTTTGAAATTGTGGAGACCTACTTTCCTGTAAGTGACTTGTAACAACTCTTTACCATACATAAAACAGTTTGTGAATCTTTTGCATAAACTATTAATTGGAAAATAACTTTAATAATCACTAGTATCTTTATGGGCCTGGAATGGGAGAGTAATAAGAATAACATTTGCATTTCTATAAATATAAAAATTTCCTCCTGGCAAGATTTTTTTTTCATTATTTTTATTACTTTTTCATTATTTTCATTATGATTTTCCCAAAGCAAGTACTGAACTTTTATATTTTATACCCAATCTCATTCTCAACATGACTCTGCTTTCTCAAAGGACTGTAGATAATATTGAGAAAAACCTTGGGGTCTCAGCTCTGCCATATACCATCAGTGTGATCTTAGGTCAAATTAATTTCTCTCTGAGCTTCAGTTTCCTCATTTGTAAAGTGAGATTCTAATAATACCCATCCTGCATAACTTGCAGTTGTTGTGAAAGTTAAATAAGATGATATATCGGAAACACTTTGTAATTTATTAAATGCTTTATAAATATAGGGTAATATTAGTGCCTGTTCCTCTGTAATTCTATGGTAGTCTCTAAAGTATGGTGTTGTAAAGTAGTAAAGTAGACCTGGATTGTGCCTCATATTATATAACCTTTAAATCACTTCTGTTATCCTTGGTTTTGTCACCTGTAATGTAGTGATAATAATACCTAAATTGCAAGATTGGAATTAGTGTAGGTGAAAACATGCACATATGACATATATTAAAGCATAAGCTTTCATGTCTATGAAAGTCCCTTCCAACTGTTTCTGTATAGATAAATACCTCTTAGGTGAACGCTTAGTTTAAGTATTTGAGAACTTTGTAAGAACCTAGCACCATAAAGTCATTACTACTAAGAAAGTCTTACTTTGTTGTATTTCTTTATTTTTAAAAATGCCATGCTGTACACTGTTTCATGTTGTTTGTCCCTTCAGTTAAAGAACAAGTAGAATCAGGAGAGTGAGGGTGAGATGTAGAGCCTTACTGGGGACCTGAAGAGACACTTGTCGCCAAGAAGAACATTTTGAAGATTTTGTTGTCTAGAAGAGGTGTCTCTGGGATCTCACTTCTATATATTTACTGAAGATCGGAAAAGAATTAAATTAGGGCCATGGGGACACAGAAGGTCACAGTACCTCTGATCTTTGCCATCTCCATTGATAAAATAGACTCTTTCCAGTTTGGCTCTTTCCAGTCATCAATGCTCCTGAGACAATCATAAACGATTTTCTCAATTATTCATTGGAAGAGAAGTTAGAAGACTCCCCCACTCAGGTGCTACTCATTTCCCTTTGGTCCTTGTCTGTGGCCATCTTCTCCATTAGTGGTATGACTGGCTCCTTTTCCACTGGACTTTTTGTCAACAGCTTTGGCAGGTGCTTATTGTCAACCTATTGGCTGTTGCTGGTGGCTGCCCTATGGTTTTCCAAATTAGCGGAGTCTGTTGAAATGCTGATCCTGAGGGGCCCCTGGGTGGCTCAGTTGGTTAAGCGGCTGCCTTCGGCTCAGGTCATGATCTTGGGGTCCTGAGATCGAGCCCCACCTCGGTCTCCCTGCTTGGTGGGGAGTCTGCTTCTCCCTCTCCCTCTGCTGCTCCCCCTGCTTGTGCTCTCTTGCTCATGTGCTCTCGTTCTCTCTCTCTCTCTCTCTCTCTCTCACTCAAGTAAATGAATGGAATCTTGGAAAAAAAAAAAGAAATGCTGAACCTGGGCCAATAGATTATTGACCTCTTCTGCAGATACTGCACAGGTTTTGTGCCTATGTGCATTGGAGCGATATCTCCTACCTGCCCCATGATGGCAGGTCGGGGGGCTTTGGCATTCCTAACCAGCTAGGCATTGTCAGGATTCTGGTGGCTTACATATTTGGTCGAAAGTCATCTTGGGGATTGAAGAGCTTTGGCCTCTGCTGTTGGACTTCACCATCATTCTAGCTGTCCTACAAAGTACAGCCCTTCCATTTTGCCCTAAAAGTCCTAGATTCTTGGTCATTAACAGAAGGGAAGAGGAGAGTGCCAAGGAGATCTAGTGATTGTGGGGTACCCAGGATGTGACTCAGACAGGACATCAGGGAGATGAAAAATGAGGGTGCTAGGATCGCACAAGAAAAGCAAGTCACTGTGCTGGAGCTCTTCAGTGTGCGCAGCTACTGACAGCGTATCGTCGTTTCCACCACGCTCCAGCTCTCCCAGCAGCTCTCTGGAGTCAGTGCTGTGTTCTGTTACTGAATAGGAATCTTCAAAGACGCAGGTGTTGGGGAGCCATTGGTGTGGGTGTGGTGAATATTGTCTTCATGGTAGTTTCTCTGTTTTTGATGGAAAGGGCAGGGAGGAAGACTACATCTGACTGGTCTTGGACGGATGGTTTTTTGTTCCATTCTCATGACTGTTTTCATTGTTATTAAAGGACAAGTATAACTGAATGGGCTTTGTCTGTATTACAGCTGTCTTGGTCTTCCTGCTCTTTTTTGAAATTGGTTCAGGCTCCATTCCCTGGTGTATTGTGGCTAAACTCTTCAGCCAGGGACCCCACCCAGCTGCAATGGCAGGGGCTGGTTTTTCCAACTGGACCTCCAACTTTTTTGGTTGGGCAGCTGCATTCTGTTTAGGAGCGTGTGTTTGTATTGTCTTCACTGGCTTCCTTGTTATCTTCTTGGTGTTTAGTCCCTGAGACCCATGGCAGGACTTTTGAAGAAATTACATAAGCCTTGGAATGGCAGGTGAAAGAGGCCAGTAGAGCTGACAAAGGCCCCATTGTGGAGATAAACAGCACCCTTCCCGTTAAGGAGGTCTAAGCCATGCTTCCTTCCTGTCTCCCTACCAACACGAAGAAGCAAACTCTCCCTGAATGAGAGAGAGAGAGATTGAGAGAGAGAGAGAGACCTCATCAGGTTGTAACCCAGGACTGTTTCTGAATGCTGCTACTTGATTCCTTTCTCTTCCCACACACTTCATGAGCACTCAGAGGAACCCAGTGCTGGAGTTAGTTTTATCTTCAGTGGATTTTTAAGCATTTTATTGCTTGGACATTCTCTTCTGTTTAGGAGAGACCAAGTGAACCTTCCTTCATTTCAAAAGGAATTGGCTGCTTGGCATATGACAGCTTTGCCAGCTTTTCCTCCCTCGGGTTCTGTATTGCCTCACAAGGACATACAGGAGTGTTAAGAGTGAGGTTCAGTCTCCCCCACCCCAGACTTAACAGGAAGCAGATCTACATGAGTGTGGAGGGCAGAGAGGGATTAAATAAGAGCACCTTCCTTGCTTCTATACAGCTCTGCAGAAAAAAATTAATTGGAGTTTTATTTATCTTCTGGTATTATTACATAAATACTTAGTTCTCTAAGTGTAAAGCAATTTTACCAAATAATGAGAACATAAGGAAATTGAGCGTAGAGGGAGGTGCTTAAAGAGAGGTTATAGGGTGGAAGATTTAATAGTGGAGAAGTCAAGGTGCAATAAGAAGGGAAGACTCTAGAAAGAAATATAATATGTTATTGAAGCGTACATGATGTGGTGTGTGAGATTTGCCTCTTAACAATTCCTGTCCTTCAGGTGGAAACTCTCAAGTTTAACTTCTCAGTTAAAGTCATGTGCCTATATTAAGAAGCTACTGGTTTCCTTTGGAACTTTTTTCTTTGTTGAAGATTATATGTAGTATTACTTGAAATCTAGGATGATTACTAAAATAGGCATTGCAGTTAATGGTGGTTGATGGATTCTAATTTTGGATGGAGTCTAGAGAAGGGAAGATTAATTCTAGAAATCCTTTCTCCCCTCAGTGGACCAAAAAAGTTCTTGCCCATGTAGCGGACTCTTTTTTTTCTTTTTTTTTTTTTCTTTTTTAAACTACTCCTAACCACCCATCTGGTGGGGGAGACCTCCAAATGAGCAACCCAATTTTGTTTTTTAGGAGATTTTAGTTGTTGATTTTTATTTTTTTGAAAGTTTTAATTTTAATTCCAGCTAGTTAACATACAATGTTATATTAGTTTCAGGTATACAGTATAATGATTCAATAATTCCATACATCACCCAGTGCTCATCATGACAAGTCCACTCCTTAATCCCCATCACCTGTTTAACTCATCCCTCTATCCACCTCCCCTCTGGTAACTATCAGTTTATTCTCTATAGTTAAGAGTCTGTTTCTTGGCTTGTCCCACTCTCTCTAGCTTTTTTTCCCCTTTGTTTGTTTGTTTTGTTTCTTAAATTCTACATATAAGTGAAATCATATGGTATTTGTCTTTCTCTGACTGACTTATTTTGCTTAGCTATAATGCTAGCTGTCTAGCTCCATCCATGCGGTTACAAATGGGAAGATTTTATTCTTTTTGATGGCTGAGTAATATTCCATTGTAAATATATACCACATCTTCTTAATCATTCATCAGTTGATGGACAGTTGGCTTGCTTCCATATCTTGGCTATTATAAATAATGCTGCCATAAACATAGGGGTGCATGTATCCATTTGAATTAGTGTTTTTGTATTCTTCGGATAAATACCCAGTAGTGCGATTGCTGGGTCATAGGGTAGTTCTGTTTTTAATTTTTTGAGGGATCTCCATACTGTTTTCCACAGTGGCTGCACCAGTTCCCACCAATGGTGTAAGAGGGGTTTTCTCCACATACTCACCAACACCTGTATTTTTCTTGTGTTGTTGATTTTAGCCATTCTGACAGGTATGAGGTTGTATCTCATTGTGGTTTTGATTTGCATTTCCCTGATAATGAGTGATGTTGAGCATCTTTTCATGTGTCTGTTGGCCATCTGTATGTCTTCTTTGGAGAAATGCCTATTCCTGTCTTCTGCCCATTTCTTGACTGGATTTTTTGTTGTTTTTTTTGGGGGGGAGGTGTTGAGTTTGGTAAATTCTTTATAGATTTTGGATACTAACCCCTTACCAGAATATGTTGTTTGCAAATATCTTCTCCCATTCTGTCGGTTGCCTTTTAGTTTTGTTGACTGTTCCCTTTGCTGTGCAGAAGCTTTTTATCTTGATGAAGTCCCAATAGTTCATTTTTGCCCTTGTCTCCGGAGACGTGTCTAGTAAGAAGTTGCAACGGTCTGGGTCAAAGAGGTTGCTGCCTGTGTTGTGCTCTAGGATATTGATGGTTTCCTGTGTCAGATTTAGGTCTTTCATCCATTTTGAATTTATTTATTTTTTTGTATGGTGTAAGAAAGTGGTCCAGTTTCCTCATTTTGCATGTCGCTGTCCAATTTTCCCAACACCATTTGTTGAAGAGACTTTTTCCCACTGGATATTCTTTCCTGCTTTGTTGAAGATTGATTGACCATATAATTGTGGGTTTATTTCTGGGTTTTCTATTCTGTTCTCTTGGTTTATGTATCTATTTTTGTGCCACTACTATACTGTTTTCATTCCTACAGCTTTGTAATATAACTTGAAGCCTGGAATTATGACGCCTACAGCTTTGTTTTGCTTTTTCAAGATTGCTTTGGCTATTCGGGGTCTTTTGTGGTTCCATATAAATTTTAGGATTGTTTGATCTAGTTCTGTGAAAAATGCTGTTGGTATTTTGATAGGTATTACATTAAATTTGTAGATTGCTTTGGGTGATATAGACTTTTTTTTACAGATTTATTTATTTTAGAGGGAGAGAGTGAGTACCAGCAGGGGGAGGGGCAGAGGAAGAGGGAGAAAATCCTCAAGCAGACTCCCTGCTGAGCATGGAGCCCAGGACCCTTAGATCACAACCTGAGCTGAAATCAAGAGTCAGCCACCCAACCAGCTGAGCCACCCAGGTGTCCTGGGTAGTATAAACATTTTAATAATATGTGTTCTTCTAATCCATGAGCATGGAATATTTTTCCATTTCTTTGTGTCATCTTCAATTTCTTTCATCGGTGTTTTAGTTTTCAGAGTACAGGTCTTTCACCTCTTTGGTTAGGTTTATTCCTAGGGATATTATTATTTTGGTGAAATTGTAAGTGGGATTATTTTCTTAATTTCTCTTTCTGCTGCTTCATTATTGGTGTGTAGAAATGCAACAGATTTCTGTAGATTGATTTTATATCCTGCTACTTCAGTGAATTTGTTTATCAGTTCTAGCAGTTGTTTAGTGGAGTCTTTCAGGTTTTCTATATATAGTATCATGTCATGTGCAGATAGTGAAAGTTTTACTTCTTCCTTACCGATTTGGATGCCTTTTATTTCTTTTTGTTGTCTGATTGCTGTGGCTAGGACTTCTAGTACTGTGTTGAATAAAAATGGTTAGAGTGGACAACCTTGTCCTATTCCTGATTTTAGGGAAGAGCTCTCCGTTTTCTCTATTAAGGATGATGTTAGCTGTGGGTTTTTCATAAATGGCCTTTATTATGTCGAGGTATATTCTCTCTAACCCTACTTGTTGAGTGTTTTTATCACAAATGGATGTTGTACTTTGTCAAATGCTTTTTCTGCATCTATTGAAATGATGGTATGATTCTTATTCTTTCTCTTATTGATGTGGATTTTTATTTTGTTGTAAGCCATAGCTTTAAAAGAATTCAGAGGAGAATGTTCATAGCTAACTTTGAATTTGTAACCTCAGCTCTGGGAGAGGATTTTTCCTGAACGATTATTATCTTGTTGATGTATGTTGTTGCTTTGGCATCATCATATGCTTTTTCATCTGTTACCATGTCAAGTTACCCTTGTTACCATGTTTCCATTGTATTAGGTCAAGTGCCCTTAGGGGCCCATACATTTGAGATAGTGTGAGTAAATGTGCAGTGTAGCCCACACTTGAGAGAGTATGAATGTATATGTACTGTCACTTTGCTCTAGTTGGAAGTAGTTTATTGGTAGCTTGTTTCCTCTGTGTTCCTACAACCCCCTTTTGGATAGAATCTGTTAAACATCTCTCTGTGTATAAATGACACTGCCTCTGCTCTGTGGAATTTGTGTCTATGGCTTTTTTCCAAACTTTAGTGTTCTATCTCATGTGGCTACCTTTCCTTGTTGGAGAGTTGGGGGAGAACTCCTTAAATCTTGAGATTGAGGGTGGAGGACTCTGTCTTGCTCTAGACCCAGACAATGGAAATAGTTAAGAAGAGTGTGAGATCAGGACATGTGGCCTCTTGGAGGCACTGGAGGGGAATTGTGGGGGAGAGGGGGGTTTTCTTTTAAGGGGATAAAAAACGAAGACTTCTAATTCTGGAACATTTCAGGGAGTTAGATGAGATGGAGGGATTTATGCTTGCCACAGGTCACGGACACCTCCACAGATCATCTAGTTTCCTAGTATTTTTATAAATGGAAATTGGGCCCCATGACAGTTACTGCCTTTTCCCCTTTTCATATGTTGCTTGATCTCCCTTTCTCTCCTTTGTGCTTACACATTCCAGGCCCTTTAGCCAAACCCTTGCCTATGACAGTATTTTAGTTACCAGTTCTCACGGTTCCCTCTGGTTGTTGAGCCTTGGGATAAAAACTCACAGAGCTATGGAATGGGACTTTGTTGGAACAGGTGACTTCTTCTAATTGCACCTGTGCTTCTGGGTCCTCAAAAACAGTGGGTTGGCAGTAATGCAGTGTGGAAGTTTTCCCATTTCTCAGTGACCAGATTGTGAATATTTCCAAGTGGATTTTTCTGTTATAACGTTACTGTGGTTCTTTGTTTTGAAATAAAAATTCTGAATGTAAAAAAAAAAAAAATAGAACAGGTAGAATCAAAAAACTATGTATCTACTTCATGATATATGGTCATTAGTATAATATAAAAACTTTTTAAAAGATAGAGAGAGAGAGCACAAGCAGGGGGAGCAGCAGGCAGAGGGAGAGGGAGAAGCAGGCTCCCCACTGAACAGAGAGCCCGATGCGGGGCTCGATCCCAGGACCCTGGGATCATGACCTGAGCCGAAGGCAGCTGCTTAACCGACTGAGCCACCCAGGCACCCCTAAAAATTTTTTTAAATGATTCACATTGGCTAATTACACATTGAACAAGAAGATTGCTGAGAAGTATTTTGGAATGTGTATCCCTTAGGGATTTTTCTCATGAGTTCAGGGAGTGCTTAGGAGATTTCCCCTAATACTGTCGGTTGTATTTACTCACACAGCAAATATTCAATGTCACTAAGAGCTGTATACTACCTGATATACTCAGTTCACACTGTTATGTTCAAAAGAATTTTACTGAAATAGGAGTAAGCTTCCTTTGCATGCTGGGTGATTTTTCCATTGTCTTTAAAGTATAGTGTGAAAGGCAGATTTATGGTCCTAGTATACAGAGATTCAAAATTCTTTTTCTTCAGGATCAGATTTGCTGAGAATTAGGTCCCATATTTGCAGCTATTTTTGAAAATCCCTAGTAAAAGCACTCATTCTCAATATAGAGGTAAAAAGCTGACTTTCATGTTCTTTAGATGAACTGCATAGTTTGTAACTCTGGAATCCGCAAAATTGAATTCCTAATTTTAGGACTATGACTTGTTTACCAGTAATGTCGCAATTTCTTATATTCATACAAGAAGAAAAAAGGTGTTTTTTTTACTAGTAACCAAATTGTATACATTGGCAGCTAAGTAGGATTATGTGTGACTTGAAAAATGTGGTTTTATTTAAATAGAGTTAAGCTTTGTTCCTTTTGTTTTATACAGCTCTAGATCAATAACCAAAATTCATGCCTTTCTCCTAAAGGGATATAACAGAAGTATCTCCCGAACAGAAACGATAATACGCTTTGCTTTCCAAGCCTCTATCACAGTTCTGTGCATTGCATGCCCCTGTTCACTGGGACTAGCCACTCCGACTGCTGTGATGGTGGGTACAGGAGTAGGCGCTCAAAATGGCATACTAATCAAAGGTGGCGAGCCATTGGAGATGGCTCATAAGGTAAGATAGTCCCCAGAACTAAGAATTGTCCCATCCAAACTGGCAATAGCACCCCTATTGAGAAAGAGAATCCAGAGTTATTTCTACATGGTCCATAAGCCGAGCTTCTTCTGGGACTATCCTGAGGGTTGAGGTAGGAAGGGTGTTATTTTGGTTCTGCTCTGGATTGGTCTTAGTTATCTAAGATCTTTAAAACTACTCCAGGCCTACTTTCTCAGAGCCGACCCTGATGTGGAAAAAGTGGAGTCCTCTTCCAGTTTAGATTAGAAATGTCTTCAGGTCAGGAAGACAGAAGGGGTATTTGCCCAGGAAAAATGCGACCCCATGTTTGTATTCTTCACCGTGAGATGGTGCTTATAGTAACATTGCAGTTTCTTTGCCTTTCCCACTAGCTGACAGTTTGCAGCTATGACTTCAAAAATATAATCTTATCCCTCATCTCTCTCATATTAGGATTTCCAAAACAATTTCAATCAAGGCTACTTGACTTCAACTAAAACCATGTTCCTTCTAATATGTTCTTATTGTGAGGATATAAACTATATACAGATGCATGTAGTAAACACAGAACACAGCTTAGAACAGATTTGGAACCTCATATAACCAGTGAATACAAGCTGTTAATGTTTATAGTAATTTTTTATTGACTTTGATATAATTTTAAACTTAAGAATTGAAAGAACAGCATAAAGAACTCCTGTATATCCTTTACTGCAGATATCAGGTTCCTTTCCTAAGAACAAGGACATTCTCTTACATAATCATAGTACAGAGATCAAAATCAAGAAATTGACATTGCTGTAATACTGTTATCTAACCATGAGTCCATATTCCAGTTTCCTCAGTTGTTTCCATAGTACTCTTTATAGCTATTTTTTCTCTTGTTCAGAATTATGCTTTGTATTTCATTATTATATCTCTTTTCATCTTGGTTCCTCAAGCTATTCATTTTTCAAGGTTTGTATTCCAATTTTACTGTGGGGTGACTGTGTTCTCTAAGTCCAGATTCTTCCTTTTTCCTGTCTGGGCTCAATTTCCCTCATGGGTTCACTGAGCTGTCTCTTCTCAGGCCAAGCTTCTCATCTAGACCCAATAAAGTCAAAGCAAACCAGTAGGTCTTATCTGGTGCTCACTCCAACTTAATTACTTACCTTTCTCTTATAATCATATGCCTACTGCCCAGATTTCCACTACAGTTCTGGAATTCGTTAGTATTGAAAGCTTTTCTCTTTCCCTGAAGCAGAGTCAATTCTTAAGTACTTATTAACAGTCAACTATTAACAATTAGCTCTAGTTGTTTAACATATATTCACATTATGGTTGAACATTTGCAAGGGAGGGCTATTAGATGTAACTTAGAGTATCTTTTCCCTTATTATCCCTTACTTTTGCTCACTCAAAGACAGTTCAACTCCAATTAAGTCAAAGGTCAATTTATTAAGAAACAAAATATTCATCTGTCAAAGTAAACCTATTTCTTATTTTTGGAAAGGTAGTATTAAGGACTATCAAGTCATATAGGTGCAGTGTATTTTAATTTTCTTACAGGTGAAGGTAGTGGTGTTTGATAAGACTGGAACCATTACCCATGGAACCCCAGTAGTGAACCAAGTAAAGGTTCTAGTGGAAAGTAACAGAATATCACGCAGTAAGATCCTGGCCATCGTGGGAACTGCTGAAAGTAACAGTGAACACCCTCTAGGAGCAGCCATAACCAAGTACTGCAAGCAGGTACAATTTTTCCTTTGTTTATTAATGTAGTTGTCCTCTACAGGAATTACACAGACCAAATCCAAACTGGCGTTTGTGATTTACATATATAGTTGGTAGGAGGCTCGAGAGACTTGTATTTTCTCAATTTATTTTAGAATATGTGTTAGTTTCTTTATACAGAAGAGTATAAAGATGAAAGCAGAAATTAACTATAATTTTATCACACGGATAACCCCTGTTGACTAAAAAATTAAAACGTAATGCATACAGAGAGTTACATAATGAAAAAGGAAAGCCTCATTCCCTGCCCCCTTTCTTTTTTTTTTTTTTAAAGATTTTATTTATTTATTTGAGAGAGAGAGAATGAGAGAGAGCACATGAGAGGGGGGAGGGCCAGAGGGAGAAGCAGACTCCCCGCCGAGCAGGGAGCCCGATGTGGGACTCGATCCCGGGACTCCAGGATCATGACCTGAGCCGAAGGCAGTCGCTTAACCAACTGAGCCACCCAGGCGCCCCCTGCCCCCTTTCATAATTCCTCTCTCCAGAGTTTAACAAGTGTTAATCTGTTAGCAGTCTTTTAAAATACAGTAGTCTCTCCTTATCTGCAGGGGATATGTTCCAAGACCCAAGTGGATGCTTGAAACTGCAGAGTAGTGAACCCTATATATACTATGTTTTCTCCTATACATACATACCTATGATAAAGTTTAATTTATAAATTAGTCAAGAGATTATAATGTATGTTATATTTTATTAATACTAATTAATTAAAATATCACAAATTATATTATTAAAATTAATTAATTTAAATATCAATGTAAATTAATTTATAAATTAGTAAGATATTAACAACAATAACTATTAATAATATAGAATAATTATAACAATATACTGTAATAAAAGTTATGTGAATATGGTCTTTCTCTCTCTCTCAAAATTACTTATTGTACTGTACTCACCCTTCTTGTGATGATGTGAGATGGTAAAATGCCTGTGTGATGAGATGAAATGAGATGAATGATGTAGGCATTGTGACTTGGTGCTAGGCTACAGTCGACCTTCTGACACTATGTCAGAAAGAGGATCATCTGCTTCTAGACCACAGTTGACCACGAGTAACTGAAACCAAGGAAAGTGAAACCGTGGATGGGGGAGGGAGGACTACTGTAACAGCTTTACTGAGATACAATTCACATACTCTAAAGTTCATTATAAATTGTACAATTCAGTCATTTTTAGTATAGTCCCAAAAGTGTGCATTTGTTAACTATTTTAAATACATATCTGAACATATATGCATTTATTACGTTTTAGACTTCATGTAGAAAGGTCACACAGTGACCAATCTTTGGTACCTTTTTTTTTTATTTTATTGAATGATTTTTCCATATTAAGACATATAGATCTGCCTCATTATGTTTAATGGCTATATTGTGTTCTACTGTATGATTGGGTTTTTTTTGTCTCTTACAGTGTACGGTTAATGTTCTTGTCAGTTTTTGCAAGTTTATATTTATGTTAAATGCCTATCAATGCAATTGCTAGATCAAAGGATACATGCAGTTAAATTCTGATGAATATTACCAATGCCCACATAGCAAATATTACCAATACCCATGTGAAGGGTTGTACCAGTTTATACTTTCACCAAAAGTTATTAGTGCTCATTTCCCCACATTCTTACTTTATTTTTTCCAATTTAATAAATAAAAAAATATTTACTCATTGATGATTTGCTTTGCATTTCCATAATTATAAATTGGGTTGAACATCTTTTCATTGGCCATTTGAATTTCTTTTTCTGTAACTTTTCTGCTTGTATCCTTTGCCTGTTTTTTTCATAGGATTGTTTACCTTTTTTTTTCACTGATTTGTGTAAGTTCTTTGTAAATTATCTCATAATTTTACAGTTATGATGTGGCAATTCCTATCATTGGTGTTCTTTCCTTTTTACCAATTTACTATTTTACTGACCTGGCTTCTTTACACCCAAACCAAACAACAGAGAGGATGAAGATATAAAGAGCCAGGAAACAATGATGGCCACCAAAATTCTTTGGCTTACTAAGGACACAGAATCATACTAGAGAGGCACTCTGGTAACTAAAGGCCCTGTTCTTTGTTACCCTTTGCCCTGTACTGAATAGAAAATCTGACTTGACAGTAGAATTAAATATTTAACTTGTAATTCTCTACTGGAAAGGGCAGAGAATACTGGTAAACCTTCCATGTTTTCTTTCTCTAAACTTGGTATAAATTTTAGAGAGTGCGATTAAAATAAACAATTCTGATGTTTTGTTCTAAACATTTAGAATTAACCGGGCATGCAGCATGTGTCTAAACATTTAGAATTAACCAGCAGTAATCCTTGATTGTGCTATTGATGACCTTGGATTGTTAGAACAGCAGAAGAAATCCTTCTGTTTCTATTTGTTAGGAGCTGGACACTGAAACCTTGGGTACCTGCGTAGATTTCCAGGTTGTGCCAGGCTGTGGTATTAGCTGTAAAGTCATCAATATTGAAGGCTTGCTACATAAGAATAACTGGAAGATAGAGGAAAATAATATTAAAAATGCATCCCTGGTTCAAATTGGTGCAAGTAATGAACAGTCATCAACTTCATCTTCCATGATTATTGATGCCCAGCTCTCAAGTAAGCTAATTTTCTTCATAGTACCAATTATGGGACAAATATTAACAGATGTCTACCTTTATAATCCTGAACTGTTAGATAAGAAACAAAAATTGGCATCATGGTTTCATTCTGTCAAATAATTTTACCATAGGCCTTCTGGTCACTTCACTTGAGTCACTCAAGAACATTTCCCAACTGTGCTGCTCCTTGATTCTACCATAGGGTGCTGAATTCTAGTCTTAGCTGATCTTCCATATTAGTTCAGCTATCTTTCTTTTATTTCTTACCACAGCTACTCTAAACCTTTTATATCTTTTACGAGATACCGTGACCTTCTCCCTTGTTCCCTAAGCAAGTTATCAGGTTTATTTTTCACATGGAAAATTAAGGTTCTCAGACATTTGGTCTGTCAACTTTTTGCCAAGCATGATTCCTTTTTCAGGAGAAGAGGTATCCCTCATCCTGCATAATGAATCCCATCATCTTTGCTCTAGATCCCACCCTCTCTTGATTCTTCAGGGACCTTACTCTGTTATATCCCCTCGCTTCTTTATTTTCCCACTCTCTGTACTAGCTCCTTCTGCTAAACATACAAACATTTCTTCCATCACTATCACTGTAATCCCTTTTAGACTGTATCCTGTCTCTTTTTTTCCTTTATATCTAAGCTTCTAGAAAGAGTAGTCTAGGTTTGCTGAATTCACTTATTCACCACACAGCCTGGCTTCTGCCCCATCCATACTACTGAAACTGTTTTTTCTAAGTGCATTGATGACCTTGTTCAGTACTCACTCCAGTGGTTTCTTCTCAGTCTGCATCCTGCATGACCTCAAATGCCCAAGGCATTTGAGAATGTTGACCATTTCTTCCTTCCTAAAGCTCTTTCTTTTAATTTCATGACCATTCATTCTCTAAATTATCCTCTTACCTACCTGGCTGTTGCTTCCAATCCTCCTCTGATTCCTCTTTTCTCCTGCTCTCAAATGTTGGGTATCCCCAGGGTTTTGTTCTTTGTCTTTTTCTCATTTTATATACTCTCTGTACAATCTCCTTCATGTCTATTGCTTGTTCTGCCATCTGTAGGCATCTACTGGCACTCCAAAATCCACATCTCTAGCCAAGGCCTGTTTTCTGAGTTTCTGGTTTGTCTATCCATCTGCCCCAAAACATAATATACCCACCTAAGTGTTCTAGCACCTCCCTACCCATTTATGCTTGAGTGATTTTGCTAACCTGCAAATATGATTATATAACTGTCTGACTAGTACCTTTTATTATAGTGGTTTATAATTTATTTTTGAATCATGAACCTTTGGAGGAATGTGATAAAAGTTATGCCCACCCCTCAGAAAATTTTTGTTTTGGAGGTTTGCTTGTGTCCTAAACCCTATCAGTTCGATTCTGTTAGGGATCCTGGCTTGCTGGCTGTCTCCTGTGGGACTTAAGACCAGTCTCTCTAAACTTTGTTCCAGGTCCGTTCCCCATGATATGTCTCCTGCCTGCCTACATCACCATTTTGTCTTTTTCCACTGACCTCCATGTACTCTGTGTTCCATTCATATGGAACTACTTACAGTTCCTTTTTACATTGTGTCGTTTCATGCTTATTAGATCATTTCATTCACTGTTTCCTCTGGGTAATGTTGTTGTCTACAGTGGCATCTACCTCATGAACTTATTTTCATTTTTCAAAAGTTAGCTCACATATCTCTTCAGTGAAGTCTTTGCCGACTGACATGTATAGGCAGAGATATTTGCTCTTCTTTTTAAATCATAACTGTACTTAATCTCTGTGTTTTTGTGCTAGGTACACTGCATGATAATACTTTATTTACCTGATTCTACCAACAATTTATTATTTGTGAACTTCCAGTACCAAGCACTGACGCATATTAATTTTGTTCATTTGACACCTTTTATTAAGCACTGTTCAAGACCCTAAAGAATCAACAGTTAGCAGAATAGACAAAGTCACTATCTTTTGGAACTTATTTTCCTGGTGGGAGAACACAAAACAGTGAGCAAAGAGATAAGAAAATATAATATGTCTGATGGAGATAGTGCTGTAGAGGAAAATAAAGAAGGGTAGAGGGGTATAGGGAATGCTGTGAGTATTGGGTCCTATTTTACATAGGATGATCAGGGTAGTCCTCAGGTTCAAAAACCTGAGAAGGGGGAGGGAGAAAGCTATGTGAATATCTGTGACAAGAGCATTCCAGGTAGGAGGGATGTTAAGTACCCAAGCCTAGTTTGAGGAACAACAAGAACAGTGTGCCTGGAGCAGAGTAAATGAGTGGGAAGGAGGTAAGAGATAAGGTTAGAGAGTAGTACAGGACTAGATTATGTAAGGACACTGAAAGAATTTTGGCTTTTACCCTTGAGATGGGAAGCCATTGGAGAGTTTTGTGTATAGGAGTGACAGAATCCAACTTAATGTTTTATAAGTATTACCCTGGCTGCTGTGATAAAAATACACTCTTGGAGCAATAGGGGGAAGGACAGAAGCAGGGAGATGAGTTAGTAGGCTGTTGCCATAATCCAGGTGAAAGATAAGAATGGTTTGGACCAATGTGGTAGCAGTAGAGATCATAAGAAGTGGTCAGAATCTGAATGTGTTTTGAAGGGAGAGCTGGCTGACAAATTTTCTCACAGATTGGATGTGGGGTATGGGAGAAACAGGAGTCAAGAATTATGCCAAGGTTTGTGGCCTAAACATTTTAGGAGGATGAAGTTACCATTTAAGTAGAATGGGGAAGACCATTGGAAGGGCAATATTGAGGAGAACTGATCAGGAGATCAGTTTTTTACATGTTAAATTTGAGTGCCTATTAGATAGTCAAGTGCCATATAAGTGGAAATAACAAGTAGGCAGTTGGCTGCACAAGTCTGCAGTTCAAGGAAACAGAGTAGGTTGGAGACATAGATTTGGTAGTCGTCCACCTATAGATCTGGGCCTTCCAGTATGATAGCCATTCATTACATGTGACTACTTAAACTTAAATTATTTAAATTTAATTTAAAATTCAGGGGCACCTGGCTGGCTCAGTCGGAAGAGCATGTGACTCTTGATCTTGGGGTCATGAGTTTGAGCCCCACGTTGGGTGTAGAGATTACTTAAAAGAAATACATAAGTAAACTTAAAAAAAATAAATTTAATTTAAAGTTCAGCCCTTCAGCCATACTAGCCACATTTCACTGCTCTATAGCCACATGTTGCTAGTGGCTACTGTATTAAACCGCAGATACAGAACATTTCCAAATCTTGTTGGACAAAGCTGGTATAGATTGTATTTAAAGGTATGAGACTGGATAAGATCACCAAGGAGTGAGAGTAGATGGGGGGGGGAATGGTTTAAGGATTGAGCCCTACAATACGATAAGTTAAGAGATCAGGGAGATCAGCAAAGAAGACTGAGAAGAAGTGGTAAGTGAAGAGGTAACTCATAAGAATTTGGTGTCCTAGAAGCCAAGGAAAGAAAGTATTTCAAGAAGGAGAGAGCGATCAACTGTGTTAAATGTTGCTAATAAGGCAAGTAAGATGAGGAACAATAATTAGCCATTAGGTTTATGAAAGTAAAGGTCACTGGCATACTGTGTGAACAACTCTTTGGAGTAGTAGAGACAAAAGCTTTATTGGAGTGGGTTCACAAAAGAATTTGGGAAGATATGAATTGGAGATAGTCAATAGAGACAACACTTCCAAGAAGTTTTGCTGTGTATAGAAACAGAAATTTGGGGCAGTAGTAAAGAGTTAAGTGAGATCAAGAGAGGTTTTTTTGTTTTGTTTTGTTTTGTTTTTAAAGATAGGACTATGTGCAACAGAGATAGAAAATGTGATTATGCAGGAGAAAGAGGAGAGAATTGTAGGAGAGATGTTCTAGAATAAGCAAAGGAAGGGGGTCTAGTACGTAAGTGGAGAGGTTGGTCTTAAATAGGAGCAGGGGCCGTTTAGAATAGAAGAGAAGCTAGATTGGTGTGTACGTAGGCACAGGCAGCTGGTTAGCTGTGGCAGTGAGAGCTTGAAGTTCTCTTCTGATTGCTTTTAATTCTTTCTGAAGTAGGAAGCAGATTCATCATCTGGCCATAGATGAGGGTGGGAGAAGAGAAGGTACAAAATAGCCCTCTAGAAGGAACGGAAAATGAATGGACTGGGGAAGTGTAGAATTGCCAGACAACTCTAAGGACTTGCATAAAGTTAGTGGTCACATGTTTAAAATGAGTCATCAGTGGAGGCACCTGGGTCGCTCAGTCAGTTAAGCGGCTGCTTTCAGCTCAGGTCATGATCCCAGGGTCCTGGGATTGAGCCCCGTGTTGGGCTCCCTGCTCAGCGGGGAACCTGCTTCTGCCCCTCTCCCCTGCTCATGCTCACTCTCAGTCTCTCTCTGTCTTTTTTTTTTTTTTTTAAGATTTTATTTATTTATTTGAGAGAGAGAGAATGAGAGACAGAGAGCATGAGAGGGAGGGGGGTCAGAGGGAGAAGCAGACTCCCTGCCAAGCAGGGAGCCCGATGCGGGACTCGATCCTGGGACTCCAGGATCATGACCTGAGCCGAAGGCAGTCACTTAACCAACTGAGCCACCCAGGCGCCCCTGGTCTCTCTCTGTCTTAAATAAATAAAAAAAAATTAAAATTAAAATGAGACATCAGTATAGTTGTATGTTTCCATCCAACTACTACTACTACAATCAGCTACTGATGCACAATAAATATTTTGGATTTAATTCATTTGTGTGGAAGATCAAAGGGAAAGCTTCACCAAGAAAGAAGCATTTGAACTGGCTCTTGAAGAATATGATGGAGTTTGATAACTGGAGAGGAGGGGTAAGGACATTCCAGGTGGAGACAGCAACATGTGCAAAGGCCCAAAAGCATAGAAGAGCAAAGTATGTTCCTTGAAAATTTGGAAATCACTGTTGTAGGCTGTGGTCTACCAAAAATACAACATAGTGACTGTGTAAGGTTAGACAGGAAGAACATACCTCACAGGGTTGTTATAAATATTAAACAATCTCACTAAATGTTCTTTCTGTACTTTATTTCAGATGCTCTTAATGCCCAGCAGTACAAAGTCCTCATTGGTAACCGGGAGTGGATGACTAGAAATGGTCTTGTTATTAACAACGATGTAGATGATTCCATGACTGAACATGAAAGAAAAGGTCGGACTGCTGTATTGGTGGCAGTTGATGGTAAGGTTTTCCATAAGTACACTGTGACTCAATGTTGTGATCTCAGTAATTATTTTATGTATATTTTTGAGAGACTTCTGAACTTGAGGGCTTTTGAAAAGCAGCCTGAATGCAAAGTGAAAATGTTAGCAATACCTAATTGTTACTGATTAATTTAGAATTCTCTTGCATTTGCCTGGCTTTGTTATTTTCCTCCCTAACCTATGTTTTTGTAAAAAAGCTAATCAATAGTTGCGTATAACACCCAGTGCTCATCACCACACATGCTCTCCCTAATACCCATCACCTGGTGTTATAAGCAACTAATGAATCGTTGAACACTACATCAAAAACTAATGATGTACTCTATGCTGGCTAATTGAACATAATAATAATAAAAATAAATAAAAAGTAAAAATAAATAAAATAAATAAATAAAATTTTGTTTTTAGTGATTGCCTCTCCCCCCAAAAATAAAAAAGCTAATCAAAGATTTTTTAAAACCTAAAAATAACATAACATTAAAGTAATAACAAATAAAAGAATATCTATAATCTCATCATCCTAACTCAATGTCAGTTTTAATTGCATGTATTCCATTTCTGGGTTTTTTTGTATATATATGCTATATACAATATAATATATGTACAGAATTATAATACTAGTATATATACTCTTTTTAAGTGGGTGTATTCTGCATATAAATTTTACCTCAATAAAGTTGAATAAAAATTTAAAATCCCTTATACACCTATTATATTTTGCTTTATTCATTTATTTGCTATACTCATAAATATTTTCTAATTTTAATTCTGCATAATTTATTATATATTGTAACTAAGGTAATAATTCCCTTGTTGGAAATTTAAACTATTCTTAATATTTCATTATTATAAATAACACTATGATAAACATCTATGAGGTTTTAGGTACTTTCTTTTGTTAAATTATTTCTTGGGTAAATTTCTAGCTGTGAGATTAATTAGTCAACATTTATAATGCTTGCTAAGCATGAAGGCAGTATCTTAACTATGACATTTTTAGGTTCAGGAAGAAGCAGAACATACCATTTACTTTTGTTTTTATTTTTTAATTTTTTTTAATTATTAAAAGATTTTATTTATTTATTTGACACAGAGAGACACAGCGAGAGAGGGAACACAGCAGGGGGAGTAGGAGAGGGAGAAGCAGGCTTCCCGCCGAGCAGGGAGCCCGATGCGGGGCTTGATCCCAGGACCCTGGGATCATGACCTGAGCCGAAGGCAGGCGCTTAACCGCCTGAGACACCCAGGCGCCCCTTACTCTTGTTTTTAAAATAAAATAACTACTTGCAGTGATTTCTTTCCCCAGTATAAAATGCCAGTTTTCAAAAATTGACAAGAAACGTTGGACAGGTTGTGGAGAAAGGGGAACCCTCTTACACTGTTGGTGGGAATGCAAGTTGGTACAGCCACTTTGGAAAACAGTGTGGAGGTGCCTCAAAAAATTAAAAATAGAGCTACCCTCTGACCCAGCAATTGCACTACTGGGTATTTACCCCAAAGACACAGATGTAGTGAAAAGAAGGGCCATATGCACCCCAATGTTCATGGCAACAATGTCCGCAATAGCCAAGCCATGGAAAGAGCCAAGATGCCCTTCAGCAGACAAATGGATAAAGATGTGGTCCAGATATACAATGGAATACTACTCAGCCATCAGAAAGGATGAATACCCAACTTTTACATCAACATGGATGGGACTAGAGGAGATTATGCTAAGTGAAATAAGTCAAGCAGAGAAAGTCAATTATCATATGGTTTCACTTATTTGTG